AATTAGACAAAATCCCAGGAAGTCATGAGGAAATGGGTAAGAAACCTCAACCCTACCTAAGGAACTATTGGCAATCAATGGTTACTGGGGTGTGAAGAGTAAATCTCTTTCAAGGGTGTGACCTTGGTAGGTTAACCAGCTTCCATTGGATGGACCCACAGTGAAAGACATCTGGGGACACAAATTAGACTCTATGGACCGTATTATATACTTAATGGAGTACATTAAGTTGGTAGGTGACAATAATGGAAGGTGGGGATAGAGGAGGGGATCTGAACACCATCAAAATATATTGTATGAAATAGCAATAATTCAATAAGCATTTTTGAAGAGAAAGATAACTAAGAGTATAGATTGCAAAATGAACTAGCCTCAATTAATTTAAATATAAACACAAATGTTGGAAACTGTAATTAAAATATATTCACTCATTTTGGTGAAAGATATGATCTTCACCATTAATTCTATCAGTTATTATGCCAACAGTCAACAGTATTCTTGGGTAATATTAAATAGGTAGTCCATATTTAAAATGGATATACCATAAACAATAATTACCATTATTTCACATAAACAGTGGTCCAAAGGTAGGATAGTTTTCAAGGATGGTTGATTTATTAATTCATAGTCTAGAGTACTAGTCTTTACACAATGGGACCAACACTGATTTATTGTTTCAACAATGTCATCAAATACTGATTTTTATCTATTTGTCCTTTGTCAATGATTTTCTTAAACAATAAATATTTATTTTCTATTTTAAAAACTTCAGTTTGATTTTATAAAATACTACAATTTTCTCTCATGCAAGACAAATAGGCTACAGCATCCCCTTGACCATGGATGTCAATTACTGTAAGATAAATCTGTTTGTATTATTTATTTAGCATCATGGGTTGAAAAATATATACTATAGAACACTATACTTCTTCCCTTTGTGACTCTACCTTGTTATTAGATATCTAGCTCTCTATAATGCAAATTAGTAACTGATAGTTACATTTTTTTCTCTGTCTAGTTCTGATGTAACTAGATTTCTTTTTATGGAAAAGGACTTATGTTCACATCCTTTAGTCCATATTTTTTGTTGTTTATTTTGGCTTTTACATTGAAACATTTATCTCAAATCATATGAATAAAGTCAAAACTTTTAACATGTTCATTTTCATATCTGCATGAGTCATTATTTTACCTTTCACTTAAATGTGTTGCATAAAACCTGCTTTATGAAACTCTCCTACTTTCTGAAGACAAGAGAAGCCCTAGACCTTTATCATTTGGACTACCACCAAGGTCTGGCTCCTAAATAGTGTATATTTTTTAACATGAATGTGATTTGACACGTGTGTTTCATGTAATAGAAATTTGCCTGTAAAATCTGGACTGTGGGAAGAAGCATTGTAATCCCAAATTCCTAAATCAAATGATTCAGATTACCATCTTACAAATACGTAGGAGAGTCTTAGCTGTTTTAATCATCAGGCTTTAAGCTTCCTCAAGTCTTTTACTAAAATTTCAGGCACTGGTACACAACAGAATTAGTTTGTCAATAATGAGAGATAGCTGAATGTTTTTAGGCAAGTTCACATGCTGCTTTTGCTTTCAGAATTCTGCCCTTTGGTTTCTAAGCTTCTGAGAGACTGTAACTCATTATTTTCTAGGGAAAACCCACTTGAAATCATATTCCAAAACTAACTTTTAAAAATTATTAGCTTCTAACTCCAATTAGAATAGTTTATTTATTTTCTTATCCTGTCAAGAAAGAAGAAAACAGGCTTTGCTCACAAGGAAAATATAAATATTGCATGTTCAGCAAAAGTGCAATTTAAATATTTAGAAAACCACACTTCATAACTCTGAAAAGAAAAATGTTCCAATATCATTTCTAAGACATCTTGATCACAGGTCATCACTTAGTTATGAAGTGTTAAGGTTTCATATATTCAATTATAGGTAGTAAAAGATTTAAACTTCCTGGCCTCTCTTGCAGAGAACCTGGGTTTGGTTCTTAGCACCTCCATCAGGCAGCACACAAGTGTCTGTAATTACAGTTCAAGGGTATTAGACACCCTCTTATGGCCTCTTCAGGTACCTGGGGGCATATGGTGCACAGATTCAAACAAACACACATAGAATAAATTAATCATTTTAAAACGTTTAAATTAATCTAACATTTATCTTACAATATACTTTTGAGATTTAAAGTTCACATACAAAATAAAGGGCTTGATTATGATACTTCACACGTTTGTCATTATACTTACTCCTATTTATCCCGCTCCCCTGCTGCTCTCTCATGCAAAATTATGCCCAGCCTGGAAACTTTAACCAGATGTTGTAGGATTTTATAAATCAATTTTTGATTTAGAAGAATGATAGATAAGAACATCTTTATTGCAAAGTCGGAGCTTAAACGAAGAACCACAGGTTTAAATAACAATGCAGCTGTCATTAAGCAGATTTGGGAAATGGACTCATTGTCACTGGTTTTGATCTAGCCTTATAATAGCAGAAGCACAAATATTGCATATAACTTAACAGATACAAAGCACCTTCCCAAGACCTCAGAGCCTATTGCTCCTTTAGAAGAAAATTTGTTTATATAACCTGAAAACTTGAGATGAACAGCATACAGGAGAATGATCCAAAGGTTTCCTACAAAGTAAACCTCTTGGTACTATTGTCAAAATACAACCTATGTTTAGTCTGCCATATTGGATGCTTCTTACGCAGCTGTGCCACTTGATTTGGGATGAAATGATAAATCATAATGAAACTTTTTCCCAGTGAAAGAACATAGATCATTGTTGATTAACTAAGTTAACAGTTTTTTAACTGAGCTAAACCTCACCCACTCAGGGCTCAAGGACCATTGTGGAAGAGAGGGCTGAAAGTTAACATTTTTAAGAACTTCCATTGGCATTATTTAGAGTACAAGTGGTTAGTTTAATGCATACAATCAATGTATATGAAAAGATACTTTGCAAATCTCAACAAAACCCTGTTTAGAGTGTGTATCCTAAATATAGCCATTATTTGGTGGATATACCAAAAGTAATTTTAATCTTCAGAGGAATTAAATGACCCAGGTTAATTATATTATGAGAAATTAGACAAAAATTTTAGGCAAAGACTATTGAAGAAATTGTTGAATATCAGTTGTTTCTTTAAGATTTATATATGTTTAATCAGTTTGAATTAGTATATAAGTCAGAGACCAAGAAAATTTCAAAGACCAACCATCAAATTATGAATAACATCTTTTTATCTCAACTGAATAGAGGGAAATTATGTTCCCTTTAATTTCCCCAGTTGCAGGTCTGGGAGACTCTAGTACAACCTTCTGTACTGTGAGGAAAATTATTTCCCAGGGTCCCTTAACAAATATAGAAATTTATATCTCTAGAACTGGACCTTTTAAGTGTGTAACTTAATAGAACTCAAGGTTTTGGACTTCAGGAAGTAGAAAGGCTTTATACTAATATATCATCATAGAACGTCACAATTGCCTAAGAAAGAAAAAATGTCAGTGCAAAGTTTGGCATCACTTTCAATTTAATCTTTGGAAAATAAAGCTGTTAAATATTTTTTCTACACTTTTAGTCAGTATTATGTTTTTAACCCATAAGGCTTATAATAACATGTCCAAAGTATGAATGGACCTTAGCATCTCTCTGATTAATTTGCTCATTTTTTGCTTATTTGGACATAGGGGCTTCCTGTGTAACACAGGCTGTTCTCCAATGCAAATCCTTTTGTCTCCACCTTCCACATGTTGGAATTACAGAGTGGTGCTCCTACTCTTGGATTCCTGATCTTCCTCTATTTTTTCCCTATGCTCTTCTCTCTCAGTCCCCAAGGGAGGCAATAGAAAACAAAATTCATGCCCATAAAGGCAAACAACAGGACTTAGAGACCAGCTCCTCTGACCTACCTCTCCTGAGAGTAGGATGTGTTTAGACCCCCAAGTGTCCTGCTCTGTCCCTATTGAGCGTGTGTGCTATCTGAAAAGACCAGAAACAATCTTAACAAATGGGTTTTCCAGAGCTCTCCTTCATCTGTATGTTATTATTTTATACACTGTGTGTCTAATCACTTGTTTGCATAATTACCCACATCTTTCATCATATGTTAATCTTGAGTTTCATTTCTGGAGACTCCCATTGTCACACAACACTTTGGTAAATATATGCATTTTGCTTCTCTTTTATTAAGGTGGCTTTTGTTATACAGATGTCAGCCATAACTTGTGTGATGGATGAGGAAAATATATTCTATTTCTTACAGCTCTGTGCCAATCAGTCTAAACATTTTTGGCCTGTACATGCTGCTGCATTTAGACGAGTGGGTTTCAGTTGACTACCCTCCTCTACTCATGTTTGAGAAGCTATCTCTTCTAACTTCAGCTACAGTTGTGGGTGTGATTATCATTTAGGCATTCTTGTTCACCTGTGTTGGCATATTAAAGATACACGTAGTGAGAGGAAAACACTTTGGGAGTTATATATTTATATGTCATATACAGAGCATAATTGTGTGTGTGTGTGGATGTGTGGTATGTTTCTGTGTGTGTGGTACATGTGTCTATGTGGGCTCATGTGGAAGCAAGAGGAGAATACTCTATCACTTTCCACCTTACTCAAACAGCATTTGATGAATATGATAATCAAAGTACAATATTGACATGTATAAAAATGTCACAATATCATTCATTATTTTGTACAACTAATATATGCAAAAGAAAGGTGGTAACAAATAATAACACTGAATAATAAGGAATAGGTGGAGATGCAAAAGTGTGATGACCACAAACCAATATAAAAGTGATTTTGTTGGTAAAAATACTACTTGTAGGATGAAGGATGGTGTGCTGGAGTCTGAAACTGTGAACATTTACTGATGATAATAGCCTTCCTGTTAACTTAGTAATTTTCTTGTTAAATTATTTAATTTAAAATACTTGTATGAACCAAAAATATCAGTCTTGTATTTTATCACTTTTTTTTAAAGGCTTTCCACTAGTTTTCCTTTGGGTTGTCATTTTTCTAGAGGCAGAAACTGTGACAAATTATCCAATTCCACAAAACCAAAGTCAGTCCACCATTCTCTATTCAATCGAAGGCACAATTCATCCATAAAGTGCTCTCATTGTGTGCTTCATGTAGAGAAAGAAACTAATATGTCGTAAACACGCCGCAGTTATTTTCCATTTCTTCTTGTTTCTGTAGCAATCAAAGGAGGGAGAGAGTTAAACATTTATTTACTTGTCAAACTGGACAAAATTCTTCAAAAAGAAAAATGATATGCTACCTTAACCACTTTAGCAATTTTAGCTATCAAAAAGGAAAAAGAGAGAGAGAGAGAGAGAGATTGATTTCTGCTCAGCCACTTTATTTTTTTTATTCAATGTGTAGTTCTTTTTTTTTCTATTAGACATTTCTATCTTCCCCCCGCCCCAAATTTAAGGGGTTATTTTAGAATCATTTTGCAGTGTTTCTTGAAAAATAACATTCTCCAAGAGACTGTCTATTCTCTAGGTGAAACATACAGGTGCCTTGAATGCTTAAAGGCATTCAGACAATAGGGAGTTTTGTTTAAGTGATTTTTAGTGAGTTGGTGTCTGAGGCCTTTAAGATGCAAATGTGAAAAGTATGCAAATGGGCAATTCAATCTATAAGCCAAAACAGTCACCTGTTTATTTAGTTTGAATATAAAACATTGTATTTTATTTTGATTATTTTATTTTTATAATTTTTTCCCTCTTTTCACAATTTACATGAGGACGTCAAAGTACAACTTTTTTGAGTAGCTTCTCTCCATCAACCTTGTTTTACTTTGTGGCAGGGCATCTCTCTTGTTTGTGCAGTGCTGAGTACTTCAAGCTAGCTGACCCTGGATCTTCTCTGTCATTCCCCTTCTCTGCCTTGCACAGTGCCATTAGGAGTGTTGGGGTTACTGGTACATGCTACTGCATCTAGCTATTTTTTTAATGTGGGTTACAAGGATCAAACTCATGTTATCAAGGTTACACAGCAAGTACTGTTACCTGCTAAATCAACTCATCACCCCCTTGTGTTTTCTTTTATAAAAAGCTATTAATCATATACCATTTGGAGAGTGATCTCCTGATGTTCCAGATGGAACAAAGATAAGGAACATTGCCTTGTTTTAAAGTGCTTACTCCTATGACACAGAGTGTAAATAAAAACCATCACAGTGTGGACAAGGAATAGTTTCTTCCACAGTCAGCTTCAAGAGTGAGACCCCCTAGAGGACAGCTCAGTGAACTCATTTGGACAGAGAGGAAAATGTTCTTTTCTGCAGTCATTTTACATTTACAGGTATTTTTAATGTTCTATGTAATGAGGATTTATGTTTTTGTCATATATCAGGTCTTATTGGTAAGATCATTTCTTACAGATTGCTCATGCCATCTGCAAACATATCTGTAACATGGTCGGTTTCATTTTCTGATCTCATTGTCTTGACTGTCTTCTTCCTCTCTTTCCGTTTAAATACAGAATGTGAGACTGTTTGACTTATAGAGCTCCATGACTGAAACACTATTTCCACAATGACTTGAAATAGAATGGCAATTGCTTTTTTGCTGCTATAGAATGTCAAATGAAAAGCTAGATGATACAACTGAGATGTTTCAGGCAATAAAGGGATTGTTAGCATGAGGACCTGGCTTCATGTTCAGTCCTCAGAACATTTTAAAATGAGGAATAGGAGGAAGAGGAGGAGGAGGAGGAGGAGGAGGAGGAGAGAAAAGTTTTTTTTTTGAGGAAAAGGGTTTTTTACACACACATCTTATCTTGACATGAAGAAGGAGGAGAAAGAGGAGGATGAGGACAAGGAGGAGGAGGAAGAGGAGAGGAGGAGGAGGAGGGGGGAGGGAGAGGGGGATGAGCAGGAGGAGGAGGAGAGGGAAGGGGAGGATGAGGGGGAGAAGCAGGAGAAGGAGGAGGGAAGGGGGAGGAAGAAGGGGAAAGGGACAAGGAGGGGGAGAGGGAGGAGGAGGGGGGAGGAAGGGGAGGCAGGGGGAGAAACTGCAGTGGCAGCAATGGCAGCATCTAGATGTGGTGGCACACACTTGTAATTCCAGCACTGCCGAAGTAGAGAAAGCTTGATCCCTGGGGACTCTGGCACTACAGCCAGGCCAATGGCAGACCCTTTCTCAAAAAAGCAAAAATGGCTTGCACCTGAGGAATGACACTAGGATTGTCCTCTCACCTCCACATGCATGTGGACACATGTGTATATGTCCTTTCACACATGTACACATGCATTCGCATGTGCCCACGCACCCCCCCACACACACACTGCATCATAAGCTTCAGGCCATTTTCTTCTGCAGTGCAGAAAAGACAAGATGTTCAAATTTTCACTATAAAAGTGGCAATCTTCTATGCTAGAGATAGGGAAAATATAGGCAGTCTACAAATTCTGCCAGGGAAAGTAAGGACATGGATGATTTTCTCTATAACCTTTGACTTAAAAATGCTTATAACACTTTTAGAGGGTTGTTGAAAACAAAAGGAAGGACACTGGTGAAAAGTACTAAAAAGCGACAGACACCTTGTGACCCTCAAACCTGAATTATCTGACCCTGTAATGAAATGTTTTCAGATCTCTGCCATACATAGAAGCTTTGTGGACAGAGGCATGCATAGTTCTCTATTGTAACTCTCTAATTTTCAGCTCTTTCATAAAAATGTAAGCCTTAAGCTCTCCATCTATTACTCTTGTTTTCAAGCGCTCTCTTTTAAGTTCAGCAGCATCATCACATTCTTCTACAGAATAAATTAAAGGAGCTCTTAAGGGATATGTACTCCAGGCACTACAGAAGAACATGGTTTGCTTATGTGCGTTATGAGGGGAATTTAAATGAGATTAATAGTGATCTGCTTTGTTTATCACTCCATTGTTAACATGATTTTTGTGATTTATTTTATTCATTTTAGCTAGTTAATACTAACAAACCATTTATGTATACAGTAAATAAGATAAACTCCCTGCCCTTGGGTGTTCACACTGCGGTGACGATAGAAAATTAAAGATCTTTAGTGCACTATCCTAACATCCTCCATATTACTACATAACTTACAGTGGGTGCTAGTAAATGGAGACAAAATCTAACACTGCACGCTATGGAACGTAATAGAAGACTTCTGTTATACATTCTGGAAGCATTATGGTTATAGTCCAGGTTAGGAGACAAGAAGAAGCAATTCATGTAAATTCAGGGCCATTAAAGAAACAACTGGTTTACTCTAGAGTGAAAGCAAAGTACCTGAAGGTGTCCTTCCGATGCCAAGTCCTAGAGCTCTATAGCCTTAAGTGGAGATTCTGTATCAGCTAACCTTTTAAAGAAAGGTTGGGTCACGTTCCAGTAGTTGTGGCTTCAATGAAGAAAGAAATAAAGAAAAAGAAAATCAAGAAAGATGGTGGCAGCACATGTATTTTCATGACAGTAAATCTTTAGACCTTTTCCAAGGCTCCCTTAAGTAGAAAGCAATTGTTCCGTTTGAAAGCAAAGCTCACTGACTGTGTCATTTTGAACTTATAAGCAATGTCACTTTTCTTCTCTGAGGGAGTTAATGGTCAGTCAGGCAGGTCTTGTCAACAGTAACAAGACCCTACAGACTGGAGACCCTGGGGAATCAGACAAGCAAATATATCCAAGGCTCCCTTAAGTAGAAAGCAATTGTTCCGTTTGAAAGCAAAGCTCACTGACTGTGTCATTTTGAACTTATAAGCAATGTCACTTTTCTTCTCTGAGGGAGTTAATGGTCAGTCAGGCAGGTCTTGTCAACAGTAACAAGACCCTACAGACTGGAGACCCTGGGGAATCAGACAAG